AATTGAAAAGAATTAATTTCAAAGTTTGCCTAGACTAATAAACATCCTCCTCCTGAAACCAAAGTAAAATATAAAGAGTTGCACTGTTGTAAGACGGAGTAAGGCACTCGAATGGAAAATGAGAACAGAGAGGATTCCTTCTGAGTTCTGACCAAGTTAACATCTTGGTCCAAATTTGGCCCAAAAAGGGGGGAATGCGAGACTTCAAAAAAAGTTGGCCCATGAACAGGTAGGGTACCTACATATGTAGACCAAACCAGTTAAAGCCGACGCATGCAAAACACGAAATAATAGATGGAGACAATCTTCGGTCTTGTTTGCTCTATCAACGTTGGAAACCAGAAACAAGAACAAAGTTCTGCACTCATTTCTGCATTTCTAGTTCGAGGCGGAGTTCTTTTCAAATAAATTTCTGCTTCAGTTCTGTGTCAATTGATGCATAATAAATAGCACCAAACCCTGAATCCAAGAGACGTTTTATTTTTTATTTTTTTATTTTTCTTGGGGGGGTTAAATTCATCGATTATGCAAGTACCCAGATGGCGAAATCTGTTGGTGTTGCAAAATTCATTGGTGTCGACGTTTTCAGCTCCAAAAACAACAGCAACAGCCATGAATTCACAGGTTGCATCGTTTCACTCTACCCCTCCCGCCTGCCAAAAGTGGAAGAATAAATGGAAATCTGTAAGTCTCAATCGGGGTTCTATTCATATCATTATGACCTTTTTTTGAAAGGTTTCTTTTTTTAGTTTAATTTGGACATTTGATTTGTGGGGGATACGAGTTTTTGTTTGGAGCTTGTATCTGAATTGTGAAGGTTCTTGTTCAAGGATTTAAGAAGATTATTGTATAAAGAAAGATGATAGTTTTTGCAAGGGTGACCAATGTTGTTAGAGCCTTAGAAGTGTTGTTTGTTTTATTCTTAACGTGCTAAAAATGGCTAACTGTTTCCTTAATGCTGTGTGAAACATAGCGATCTAATCTCAAAAAGGGTAATCAAATTTTAAGCTTCTTGTAAAAAATAGGAGCTTGACTCAAATTTAATGTTTAGTAAAGATTTCGAGCTAGGTAGGACTTTATCTAGAGATCAGTTGGCGATCTTTCTCTAAGCATCTTTGAAATTTTTATTGTTCTTCATGTGTCTGGATAAAAGTATGTTTTGTTTCAAGTTTTACATTCTATGAGAAATTTTGACTGAAAACTAGTTTTGCAGGATATAAAAAGAACTCAACAACCATCTAAGGTATGTAGCATATTTCTCATGGATGAAAATGCTTATGAATTCCATTTTCCTGTTTTTCGCAAATCCAACGGTTATCTTGTTATGTTTTAAAAACCATATACGTGCATATACACTTAAAGCTTGGTAATTTGCTGAGCTAAAAGCCATCACATTGAATTATTTTCCTCTGCATTTTCTTTAACCTTGATATGTGCAAAGTGTGATCCTCTTTAATATTGGTGGAAAATATATGTAATGGTTTCTCTCATTCGGAAATGTTTTGTGCAGTCTGGACTGTGTATGACTGTGCAAAACTGACCATCAGATGAAGATGGGCCCTCTGAATGTAGGGATGGGCCCTCTCCATCTGATGGTCCTGGCTTGCACCCGACTGCAAAGGCAAAACTGCTAACTGTTCTCTCATTACTGACAAAAATATATTACTAACAATATTGTACAAAGGAATCCCCAGAATCAAGTGTTAATTTCATTAGCTGTAATGTTTTATGATGAACATTTCTGCTGCCCCTTCTATCAGTTCGTGGCCATTTATTTATTTGGTTAGAAAATACAAAACTCTCTGATACTGATAATATTAATTGCAGAATTATATAAGGTATGTAACTCGTCAAAAGCGTGCTGACACAAAGAGAGCTCTTAATGACCTCCTGTATCATGGTGGGCTCTCAAATACACATAAGGTAAGCTTTCTTTTATTCTGATCTTGGCTTATCATGAATTCATTTACTAATTGACAGGTAATTAGTACAATGATGCGGCTTGTTATAAAATACATTTCTGATTGGTTATATAGTTCTATCCATTTTTAGATTGCTTATATGTATTGATTTAGATATTCTTTAGTTGTTTTGTTACCCTTTGATTACTATCTGGCTCAGCAGTAATAATATTCAAAATAGTCTGGTAGGCTGTAGGGGCCACCGTAAGGTAAAAGGTGGGACCTAAGGGATCAAATTGTGGATTGTTTTGGCTAAACAATAACATGGGCATCCATCTTGAAAACATGTAGAGAGAGAGGAAAAAAAAAAAAACACAGACAAACACACGCAAAGACTTCAAGTGCCATGTATGGACCAAAAACATTGTTAGTGTTCTTTTGAGCTTTCATCAGTTTGGTTGATTATATATTTTTCATGATTTGAGGGTCAAAAATAAACTTTGCAAGTGGAGTCTGGTACCTTTATTCTGCTTTTCCATTATGTTGTATCAGATATAGAATCGTATGCTTCCTGTTACTGCTAGCATAGTATGTTACAAGCCATCCCTGTTCCATCATGTTAGGCTGAAGATCCAATAAGGAACAAATGGGAAGAAGGCTGGGATATAGATGGCTCTGGTGGCTCTGATGAGAAACAGCAGTCTAAGTTTTCTGCTCGACGTGTTGGCAAATCACACCACAAGAAAATGAAACGCAAGTACCAAGTCATCCTTGCATTCCTTTCTGTTGGTGCAACATATATGATTCCCCGTCTCATACATGATCTAAATAATTGGATGTGTTTCTTTATTACTTGCACAGGTAGGTTTAGGAGAGAGAGTTTCTCTGAGGACGACAATAATCCAGAAACAATCTTTCAAGCTACATTTGGGAACAAATGGTATACTTGGTCATTTCCAGGGGATTCTTTTTCCAAGAATTTTGCTTCTGGGTTTGAGTGGAGAGAGAACTCAGACTGGAGTAACTGTAGAAAAAGAGGCTGGGCTAGTTCCAGTGAAAGTGAGTCTGAGGAGGAGGGCGAATTTGATGCGATAGGAACATTCTCTGATAGAACGATCCTTGGTCTCCCTCCAACAGGTCCTCTGAAGATTGAGGATGTTAAGAATGCGTAAGTTCTTGAGACTAGGCATGTTTTGTTTTTCATTAACTATACCTTTATCTTCTTTGTTTGGTTGTCTTAATTATATCTTATCTAAAATGTTGAAATTCATGTTGCAGCTTCCGCTTATCAGCATTAAAGTGGCATCCTGATAAACATCAAGGCCCTTCACAGGTTAGTTCTTGAATTATCTGGAATATGCTCCCTCTTTCCAAATTTATTGTGTGGTTTAAGGGAAATACTAGTAAATATTCCATTCTTGGCCGGGGAGCTTTGTTGCCAGGCTAGCTTTGCATTTAGATGCCAATTCTAGTTGAATACGTAATCTTTTTGGTGTTTATGCGTGCAGGCAATGGCTGAAGAGAAATTTAAACTTTGTGTCAATGCGTACAAATCCTTGTGTGCTGCTCTATCCTGATGCTGGAGCTTCCCGTATAGATGCTTTCAACTTCCTGGTACCAGTGGATTTTCATTTGTAAGATGGCCAGATTAATTGTCAAGATGTCTGATTCAATTTATCGTTTCCAATTTTTTATCTTCACAATAATCAATAGTGTGTTCGTGTCACAACTAAATTAGATCCTGCGACCAAGCTGATACAGTTTGTAACTTTATTTGAGAACGCTTTTGGAAGTTTTATTATTATTTTAAAAATACAAAAAATATTAATAAAAATAAATATTAAATATGTTAAATAATTTTATATATTTTTAAAATGTTAAAAAATAAAGAATTAACAACTGTAGCTACAAGCTAATATTCTTAAACTAGGCATGTATTAATAAGGTAGGGTTTAGGGTGGAATTTACATTTAAGAAAGAAAATGGGTGTAAGCTATTATAAATTATAAAAAGTTGTTTTTGTAATATGCTTGTGTTGATTATATGTTTTATAATTATTAATAAAAAAAAGAGACCAACCCAAGGTACGATCAGTTTTCAGCATGCATTTTCCTCTCAGCTGAAAGCAAAATTTGACTAGTGTTTGATCAAGGTTTGAATCTTAATATTGAAAGAAATAGCTGGCATTAATTTTATTAGAGATAAAAAGTAAAATAAATTAGTTTTGAACACTCCCATGTGATGCAACCACCCGAAACAGGTTCGAGGAAACGGATGCACCATTGATCTTGGTGAAGAAGAGAGAAATTCAATAGAAGTAATGATGAGGATGAGCTGAGAAAGCCGTTAACCAATGAGACAAGTCTTGCACTCATGCCCATGCTATCCCACACTTCAAACGAAGCTGTCTCAGTTTCAAACTCAGGTCTTGACTCTTGAGAGTTGAGAAGGTTGCTGTACTTGGGCCCCTTCTCTTTCCAATTTTCAAATTCAAACAAGATTAGTATAATAGGATAGACTAATAGGAAGAACAGTTTGACAATTCAAACGTTAAAAAAAATAACAATAATAAAAGAATTAAAATATTATTAATAAATTAATATATTAAAAATTTATTAATAATATTTAAATAATTTTATAAAATATCTTCACATTTAACACATTTTATTTTTCACATTTTTCTAATAATATAAGTGAAAGCCTCTCTTCTAATAATACTTGTTTTACTGTCAATATTATAAAACAAAGCCTTTAAGTGAAATAACAACTTAAATAAATTATTAAGGATTTTTTTTTATTTTATGTTTTTTAAAATATAAGATAATAGTGTATTTATTATATTTTTTTATTGTTAATACATATAATAAAATTAAAAATTAATATTAATTTTATTAATGATCTACTAAAAAATATTTGTATCATAAATGTTAAAGTTAATGTTAATTTTTTTATTTTTTTATGTAGATTAATATATAAAAAAATATATTTAAAACTCCATTAACTATAACTTATGCCATTAAAACAAAGTTAAAAGAAACTCAATTATTAAATAGAGACGAATCATCAAAAAGTGAGAGTTCTCCCCATTTAATAATTACGAACGCTAAAATAAGAGAATTTTTTTTTTTTATCCTCTTCTTCAACATTCAACAGCTACCATTATCAATTTATCATATCATCATATGTTGAAGACATCAAGGAATATGCACCTGGTCATTCGGACCGAGTCGCCTCCGATCACACCTTGAGGTGCATCCCTTCCATCCTCGAGCGAGTTCGAACCCTCCCATGACAACATTGTTCAAAAAAAAGACATCAAGGAATATAACATCAAGGCCGTTAGTGAGCTGAGTAGCTCACAACTTGATTCCAACTTCAATACACAAGCTTAATTTACAGCGCTACCTAAAATCCGTTTCCATTTCAATATGTAATTTAACCCAAACAAGAAATCATGATTCCTACAAAAAAAATTCAACCCATGTGACTTCCCCTACCAATTACCTAAAATCTAGAAACACAGCAGCACAACAGATGAAGAAACCATGAAAGCATAGATCAAGATCAAGAACCCAAAATGCAGAGCCCAGTTTCTCTTGAACTTGGCAAAGTAACTTTCCGGGGGTTCCTGATAATGAATCTCGAACTCACCCTCCTCCCCAAACCCATCCACGAACTCGCCATTGCTGATCCTCAGCTTCATCTCCCTTAGCTTCTCAGTGGCCAGCCCAAGCGTGAGCTTGTGGCACCTCCTCTGGTATTTGAACCCGTTGATGCACCGCAGTGTCTGGGCCACCGAGACGTAGAAGATGAGGTGTGCCAGGGAGAGGAGGGTGATGGGGACCCAGCAGTGGCGGCACTGGAGGCGGCTGGACTGGGCTTGCGCCATGAAGATCAGGGCAAGGAAGACGAAGAAGAGCTGGAAGAGCTTGTGCAGCTCCTTCTTCTGGAGGTCTATGGCCCGCTTCTTCTCCAGGGTTTTCTCGAAATGGAGCTGGATTATGGTGTTGAGCGCCTGAAGAGCGGTTTCCTTAGGGATCGCTTGGTGGTGGCTGTGGTGATGCTGCGGTCGTTCATAGTCCGCCATGGCTGGGTGTGAGCGGAGGGGGAAAGACACAGAACTGAAGAGCTGCACAAGTGAGGTGTTTTTTTTTTTGGCCTCCGAAACAGAAGAGCTTTGTGAATTAAAATGAAAACAGAGTACTTTGGTGGGTGTATTGTATAATATAATAAAAAAATGTCGTCTTCTGATCTCGAGGAGATAAAATATGGTATGATCTGACGATCAAGGAACAGCATCATAAGGATTTTTTTTTTTTTTTTGAAAGGTCAAGGTATCGAGGGAAAGCTTGGGCAAGAATCATAAATATGAACCATGCAAATAGAGATGCACAGATATGATGTCCAATCTTTTTCCTTGCAAATCATATTGCCATTGGCATACAGGTGAGGTAATTGGGTACTTGTAGAGTTACTTAAGCCAAGAATTGCAAACCTTTCATTGCAGAGTTACTGCTGCTGGTGGTCTTACATTGACTAATACAAAAACAATCAACAATTTCCCACCTTTGCATACCTGGGAATATCTAACCTTTGAAGAACAGTAAGTATTAACATATACTACACACACCATCCTCCCTCTTTTTCGACTTCCCCTATCTCACATGTTTACACCACAAGTCATCGACGTTTACATGTAGATAGAATTTTTTTTTCCTGGGTATGAATTAGTACCCAACTGATGCTTCCATCCGGTATGAAAACCAGCTATAAGGAACTGGAATTTCGCCCCCACATAGACACTGACCCTCAAAATTTAGGAGCAAGTAATTTACCTCCCAAAACAAAGATCAGGATATTCTCATCATCCAATAATTTCCATTGGAGAAGGATTATTTACTACTATTTGATAAATATCTCCTTCCTCTTCATTGTTTCCATTTTCTTCATGATTCTGATCAACTTTTTCACTTTCCCTGTTGTCTGCTGCTGACTCTGGTTGTTGTTGCTCTGGTGTAGACATCATATGCATTAAGAGTTCTTCAGGCTTCAATTCATAACCAGAATTAACAAAACCATCAATCTTCGTACTCTTCTCTTTGTATAAAGCATCTAGCTGCTCAAAATAAGGGCATGTTTTTGAATCCTCAGGCCTTTTCTTGTTGCTTTCTTTTACCCTCTTGAAGTACTTGTTCATATTTTCCCATTTCTCCTTGCACCTCTTTGCACTACGATTGTAACCAAGCCTTTTCATTCTTGTTGATATCTCCTCCCACAGAGGGCCTTTAGGTCCATTTCCTTGATACTGCAATTCAAGATCAGTTCTTACTCTTATCAAAGCCTCCACTTCATCCTTAGGCCACCGAGAAGAACCCATGGGCATGTAACTTTCGCCACCATTACTATTTTCTTGCCTCTCAACAACTTTCTCCACTGGAAGTGGGTTCTCGGGCAATTGCACTGAGCCTAATTGCCCTGAAAACTTTTGTAGAAGTGCAAGCACAGCAGCATCCTTTTCTGCTGCAATTGATCTCTCTTGAACCAAAAGCTCACGTTCTCTCTCAATCCTAGCCAACTCTTCTATTCTCCATGCTTCCTCTCTAGCTATCCTATCCTTTTCACGCTTCTCCATTGCCTCCAAAAATTGCTTCTGAAAATTCTCTTGCTTCTCTATCACTTGCCTCATCAACCTCTCAAAAAAATCCACCAATTTCCTCTTCTTCTTTTGTGCTCTAATCAATTCCCTGCTTGATGAGGTAGTTGAAGTAGAAGCATCATTGAAATCTGAGGCAAGGTTCTGCGCAGAACATTGGATAGCATCATAGAAAATACTTATAGGTTGAACTTCAAAGTTCATTTTTTCATCAGAAGATGGTGGTGGAAGTAAAGAATGATGATCCTCTAAAGCTTCTAATTGGTCAAAAAACTTATAAGCCTTCCCGTTTGATCTACAGGATCGAACTTCTTTGGTTCTCCTATGGTACTTGTAGATGTTCTCAAACTTCTCCTTGCATTTCTTTGCACTGCGGTTATATCCAAGCTCAGACAATTTCCTGGTAACAGAAGCTCCATAAATAACTCCATTGTATTTCAATTGTCTCACTTTAAATTACCATTTAATGTAATCTAAAGGAATTAAATAACTACAAAATCAAAGATACCACAGCAATTCAATCTATACAAAAAAGAACGTGATAATGATAATTCACAAAAGTTGATCAGACACAAAATACCAAAAGAAACAACCAAGCATGAAGCAACTAATTAAGAAGAATCAAGGTAAGAATCAAGGTAAGGGGAAGAAGCAGATAGAAACAAAAGAAGCATAAACAAAAACAAGAACTTTCTACTGATATATCTCATAATTCAACAGTTCATAAGAGCAATAATTTCAATACCAAACTTCTGCCTATGTTGAAGAAAGAAAAAGACAACATTTTTAAGATGATTTTCTCGTGAAAAAAAAATGGCCCAAGTTGCAAGGAAAGAAGCGAACCTGGAAACCTCTTCCCAAAGAGGAGCCTTGACACCGGGGTCCCTAAACGCACTGCTCATCTCCGACCTTACCTTCAACAAAGCCAACGTTTCTTCCTGCGGCCACCGATTGCCCGCAAAATTCCGGTCACTAACTTCAGTTTTCACTCCCCCTATCTCCCCTAACCCATCATCACCACCTTCCTCCCCGCTCTCCCTGTTGGCGGTGGCACCGCCTGTATTTCCCTGTAAACTTGAATTTTGCATCATACCCACAACTCTTTTTCACTCAAATAGTTACCTTACGGTCATCAGAAATGTGAAACAAAGTTGAAATTCAAGTTTTCCTGGAAATGGGTAAGGTAAAGTTGCCTCCTTTACTGACTGTTCTAAAGAAATTTCAATTTAGTTTTAAAGGGTAACCTACCCAACCCAGGTTCTCCCTTAGAATTCTACCATTTCATGGGTTTAAGTAGGTAAACAGGTGAGAGGTGAACTAGGGTTTTCTTAGAAGAAAAAGGGCGGAAAGGCTGTAATCCAGTGGGCTCTACCAAGCTCATTCTTTTTGATTTGACACGTAGTAGAAACGAAGAAATATTATTGGTGTCCAATGCCGGCCGAAGGGATTTGTCACTTCTTTGACTTTTTTGGGTTTTGACCCAACCCACGAATTGGGTCAAGATAAGTGGGCTTGAGACATGAGATGAGAGATGCATTCAAATGAGTGGCCTAAAGTATCGGCAAAATCGCATTTCCCTAGAACCCCTCCAAGTATTTTCTTTGGCACTATTTGTCTCTCAATAAGCCATCATATGCCTTGTGTACATTAATTCATAAATTTCACATTATTATTATTATCTTAAAATAAATAAAATTTCATCTAATGAGTCATGTGACTATTACTATTTTATTATTCTATTCTCATTAATACCATAGTGACACAAGTATGGTCTATTTAAACTTGTGGAGGCAAAAAAAAATTGTCCAAAACACACATGAATCTAATCTTGAGTGGGATTTTTCCCACCTTCATGGTTCCAAATGAACCTTATTTATTCTAGCATGGCATTAACGAGAATAGAGTAAGTAGAGACAAAGTCATGTGAATCACATAATGAAATTTTGTTTCTTTTATATTAATTACAATAATAATGAGAAATTTGTGGGTTAAAATACACAAAGTATATGTTGAAGGCTAATGGTCTCAAAAACAAATAGTTAGAGGGCTTCTAGAGGGGTTAAGCCTAAAGCATAAATATCTAACCACAAAAGCAAGGGACTAAATTGCAAAGAAAAAAAGTTAAAGGTAGATTTTTTTCCTTGAAGTATACTACTATACTGTCTACACATGCTTCTATTGTTTTGAATTTTGGGTGATGCACTTGGCCGTTTGGTAAAAAGACATGTTTCTCAACCTCATGAACTGGATTCCAACCATTCCCCTTACCCTAAAAATTGTACTTGTTCATTAAAAAAAAAAAAGAAAAAATGGGGAATTTTGGGTGCTGGACCTTGAATCTTCAAATTGAGGGGTAAAAGATGGGGACAGGTAGAGATGACAGATGGGCATTTTGTGTTGGCAACCAAATTTGGCTATTAATGTGTAGGACCACATTAGCCCAGAATTTTACCCTTTAACTTCAAAGTTTGAAGAACATCCTCATTTCCAAATTCCAATTATCTCTAACTCAGGGCTCATTTATGTAATGATTGACTAAAATATTCTTTAGGTCAAGTTGGGTATACAGACATGGTTGATGCTTCCATCCAAAAGATTGGTCCATTTGGTAAATTGGTAAGTGTATTTGTTATTTATGTTAGAAAATCATATGCTAGATTTCTAGAAGATATCCCTTAGAAAAGTATATACTATGGCAGAAAAAAATAAAATAAAATCATCAAATTACTTAATGAGGGTGGATTTTGGTTGGTAACACCTTATCAATCCTAGTAGGATAGGGATCTTAAATGCCAAGTTTCAAGAAAAGGCACTTTTCTTCCAAGTGATTAATTTGGTTTGGGCATGGTTTTCAAAAGCTGCTTTTAAAAAAGAGTAGATTAGCTAAAGGGGTAATAGACTAGCTAATTGGCATTGATAATAAGTTAATTATATATTACTTTATTGAACAACATTTAATTATAATTTTAATGTGATTAATTTCTCATTAATTAAGATTTCATTTAGTATAATTATAACGTTAAATTTTTTATTTTAATTTTTAAAAACTTAAAAATTTTATAATAAAATTAAGTAATTTTATAAATTAATTAATTTTAAATAATTTTAAAGTTTTAAATATTTATTTTAAAATTTTATATTTAATAAGTTAATAATTTTAATCTTTAATTTTAGTTTTTAATTAGTAGTTTTAATTACTTAAAATTTAAAAATCAAAATAAAAAATTTAAAACTACAATCATACTAAATTAAACCTAACTAGATGAAAAAGGTAAGGCTTAATTTAATAATTACTCTATTAACTATCAGCTTGATTTCATTTTAGTCTAGAAAGTATGTTTTATTTCTAAATGTTCTATAAACTTTGGAAAATATTTCAGAATAGTCTACCGTACAAGATTTCCGTTAGTTTTGACAGAAGAATCAACTTAGAATTAAAACATAACAGTCCTTTAAGTTTTAAAAAAGTGACACTATAATCCCAATAAAATATAATGAATCAAGGAATACTTTATAGAGATAAATTAGTTAGAATTTGTAATGAAATTGATCAACTAGCTCAATTCGAAAAGAGAAACTTGGCAAACTTAAAATGAGAAGCTTAGAAGTAAGTATTGAAAATAGAATAAGAGTTAGGATACTTAACTACAAAATAAGAACAAAAAGAGAAAGAAGAAATGCACTAATAAATACTATTAATATACTTCTATTAGCATGAGTAACGAACAAATAAACCAAATTAACATTTATTTACTCAATACATTGGGTAAAAGTATAATAGATATAGAAGACACAATTATCACTGATAAGATTCTAAAAATAGAAACAATTAATGAAAATACCTTTAAGAAGAATTAAAGAAATGGGAAAATCCCTTTCTCAAGAATTTGATTCTATTAGAGCAAGAATAAATAATGTCAAATTTTCGAGAACTTTGAAAGAAATAAAAGAAGAAATAAGGTCTATTATAGACTCAAAGACTCTAATATCTCAAGTAAAAGAAATAGAAATCCAAATAGAAGAAATTTTCAAGATATTAAAAGCAATCATCGAAAAATTTGCAATAAAAGCTTAAAGATGTATAATAAAATAATTCCACAACTAGAAAGTGATAGATAAATTTTTTTATAAAATCCAGACACAACTCAAGGATCTATAAGATACTATAACATCAATCTGTAGTAAGCGAAATATTATAGATAGAAATGAAGGATTTAAAATAATTTTGAAGATTTTCACACAAAAACCTAAATCAAAAGGAATAACACTTTTCATGTTAAAAATCTATGAAGAAAAGTTGAAAGAACTTGAACAAAAATTCTTAGAAGAAGAAAATGTAGAAGAACTAGATAATCTATGCAAACATATTACTATAACTACTAAGCAATTAGAAAATATGAAAATGAATACTCAAAAGGATGAAATAAAAGAAGAAAGTGAAGAAAAGGATGAGACACATCCTAATATATTCCCAACAGAATTTCCAGTGCCACATAGAGTAGAATCCAGCATAAGCCAAAGCTATAGAAGAAACATAAATCTAACACAAGAAGTGATATATGATAAAAAAGAGTAAAAGATTTAGGAATTAATCTAGACTTGAAACGCCAGTTAGAGTCAAAGAACAGATAATTAGTACCAATGGTATTTGGCTAGATTTAGATTGTGTTACCAATCCAGAGAAGGTTATTAGTGACTGGGGCCAAGCTATTCGAATAGCCATAAGGAGCAAAAATTGGAATGTCTTACAAGCAGTTAGATTTATCGAAGTCACCTTTAAAGGGATAGTTCATGACTGGTTTGCCGGTCTAAATTAAGAAGAAAGTAATATTATTATAAGTGGAAATCCTGCTTCAAAAGAAGTTAATGAAAATGAAGCAATTCAAGACATAATAAATAGATTCGAATAAGCCATAAGGAGAGAATTCTTAGGAGAAAATTGGGAAGAAAATCAAGAAAAAGAAAAGGCCAGAATTGGAAGAATAGCAGTATGGAATCTGCAAAATTTAGAATTATGTAATCTTTGTGAATTAGATCAATACATTTGCCTATTCCAGAAATACTATTATAAAGCTTTAAATTATGGAATGACTAAAGGCCTAATAAAATTCCTAATCATTGGGGAATAAAATTGGCAGAAGCCTATAGAATATATGTATAAGATAAGAAAGATACTTTGGGATTAAGGATTTGGTTCGCTAAAACTAAAATTAATGAATGGTGCCTAGAAAACTATAGCCAAAACAAACTAAGAAAGAGTATGAAAAAAGAACTATGTTGTCTTAAGAATAGTAATCCAATTAAGTTAGGATGTAAGTACACCAACTACAACAAGAGAAACAAAAAAATTTAGAATTAAAAGGAGTAATAAACAAAGGTTTAATAAGAACAAATTTTCTAGAAAGAAAAAGAGGTATTTTAAGAAAACCAAAACATCAAAAAAGAATAAAAAGAATCATAAGAAATGCACATGTTGGTTGTATAAAGAAGAAGGGCATTATGCAAATGAATGTCCTAAAAGATACAAAGGAGAAAGTACCAAAAACCTAAAAAGTTATGAAGAGGAATTAAGTGAAATAGATACTAGTTTAATAAGTAGCAAAGAAAGTATATATGAAGTAGAAAGGTTATATACCTCTAGTAATGATGAATCAGAATATTGAAAAAGGAAAAGCTTATTCTAAAGAATATGAAGGGCATGAAAAATACAGTCAAATAACTGTATTTAATAGAAGTAAATATAAAAAAATTGGATAATGTTATGTTTACCCTCTTCCATTACACACTCTTACTCACACTCACCCCTCGTTACTTTCCCGTTAACTCCTAAACGCACCCAGCCCTTTCTTTCTCGATCTCCTTTCCTATCTCTACAGTTCCAGCCGATTCTCAAACATCTCCGATCGTTCACCTTTTTTCTCAAATGATCGATTGCTACCACGATGCTTTTCCACTTCCCGTGGGTCACCGGACAACAGGATATCTAATGAAGAAGACTGTGCAGGAGAAGGAGCAGAGACAGAGCAATCATCAATTGAAACAATGGAGGTGGGTTGCATCAAACCCTAAAGCAGATCTAGCGGAAGCAAGGGAAAGGATGCTGCAGATGTCCTAGAAGCTAGTTATTTGGGCATCTTCCTTTGTTTCACATTAAACAATTGTTTCTTATAAATATATTAGCTAATTAGCCACCACCCATTTGTCTGCTCTTTTCAAAATCTTTGATATCACTTCTGGG